ACTAGAGTCAGGCTTAATCCCAGGGATGGTGGTGAACTAGAGTCAGGTTTAATCCTAGGGACAGTGAAGAGGGCCTTTTATTATGTTTTTTAAGCAAATACAACTCTTAGTAAAAAAAAACAAATATTCATAGAAGAACACTATATTAACTTAATTTTAACCTCTAAATTTTTGCATTAAATTGATAATTCCGTTTGTTTTCTCAAGCAGGCGGCACAATGGAGCAGTGATCAAAGCTGTCACCTCACAGCGGGAATGTCTCAGGTTCGTCTTCAACCTTCCTGTGAGGTGTTCGTTCTCCACTTGCACGTAGGCTTCCTCCTCAGACAGAATACAGGACGTAAGTTAGGAGGGTGGCTTGTCTCTGACATTTCAACCAGTCTGGTGTGGAAACTGCTCCTGAGAAGAAGGTGCTGCAGAGACCGAGAGATTAGCTCAGCTCAAAAAGGACATGCGAGGACGTTCACACCAGCAGAACCAGAGCAAAGAACATTATGATGGACCCCACCCACCCAGCTCATGAGCTGTTCTTCTCCCCAGCAGAGGGTTGTGCAGCCCTAAAACCCGGATCAACAAGGCTAGATGAGCTCAGTACCTTAAGCTGCCCTCTGGGTTTTATTTTTTATTAATGGAACTTTTGATTTTGATTTATTTATTAGTCTGGTGGTTTTGGACGACGAGTGAAAAATAAATCTGATTCTGTCAACAGTTTTGGTAAACATGCTGTGGTGAACTGGTATGTCTGTAACAAACCTTGTCATTTAGCAATTTATTTTATTATTATTGTTATCGTTATTATTATTATTGTTATTATTATTTGAGGCAACGTGCTTCCAGATTGTGTCTTTTTTAGATGCACTGTATCAGAAATACAACCATGTTATGTTAACCAAATGCATTTACATTTGAACAGCACAATGGTTTAGTGGTTAGCACTGCTGCCTCATGGCAAGAAGGTCCTGGGTTCAAACCCCAGTTTGGACCTAAAGTCTTTCAGTGTGGCTTTGAATGGTTTGTGTGGGTTTTCTCCAGGTACTCTGGTTTTCTCCAGGTACTCTGGTTTTCTCTAGGTACTCTGGTTTTCTCCAGGTACTCTGGTTTCCTCCCACAGTCCAAAAACATGCTGCCTTCAGGCTCAGGTCTCCCTTGAAAGAGATCTGTGATGACCTGATTGTTATTTTTTAATGAGCGGAAAACCTATGTATATGCTGTATATGTATATAGTTGTATTAATTATTATTGTAGTTTTGTATTAAGTACTTAATAAGTTCCGATATTTACATTTAAACACAACAAACTACTTTAAACACGATGAAGCAGGTTTAGAGGATTAATGGACAACTTTTGTTCATAAAGTGTCCGACATGTTTCTTCACAATAGCTCAAAAAGTTATACCATTTTAAAGATTCTGTCTTTTGATATCAAGAGGAGTATAAAAGCAATGTTTAAAAAAAAAAAAAAAACTTTTAATGAGATCTATCTTGTGTTTTAATGTTGCTAATATGGAGTTTTTTGTGGCAAATTTTTACAAAAGAAGACAAGCATTCGTGTCATCTGAGAAAAACACATTCTTTATATTTTCATTAAAGCCAACCCAAGTTAAATCCCTGAGTACAAATCACTGAATGCATCTTTTATTAATATGATCATCTGAGTTTGTGGTTTTCCTGTTTTCACCTGTCAAACTGTGTGCATGCTGATTAAACACCTAACATGGGTAAAACGTTACAGACAGTCACAAGTTTGTAACATCTAAAGTACAAGTAAATAAATGAACTGTCAGACTTGAACATGCAGCTCCTCACTCCTCTTAACGTGGGACCATTTTTAAACATGTGAGGGTGCTATAATCCAATAAATAACTCGTGAAAAACAGCCCTACAACTCTGTATGTGCTTTAATATTTACTGCAAACAACAGGAAAAACTGCTTCAAGCTGCTTCCAGAACCGCTGATCCGTTTTTGGCTTTAAAAAAGGGAAACAAAGACACCGACTTATGAAACTAAAGACTGAATGACATGTAGAATAAATGGTACTTGGCAAAGATTTTCAGTCATAAATCTTTTCTTTATGTTTAACTTCCAAGGAGCAGACCGGCTTTATTTTTTATTAAGGTGGACTTGATTAATAGTTCTACAGACTTTCTTATGATCTTTCAAATGTTTTCTTTGGACTTTGGCTGATTTTTCATAAATTTCCTGTCTGAATATTTTCAGTGGAATTGTATTCTGTTTCTTAATCCACGTAACTCTGACCTATGGATCATGCCTTTAGGCATTGAAAGTCTCCTCAACTCAAGAGTGTAGTGTTGACACATCAAAGACAAATTAGAAGAGAATGGTAAATATTCTCTGTCTGCCTGCTCATCGGTCCATGCATGTTGTGAGCGCGACAACTTGAAAATTAATGAGGCACCAATTTCTTTTTAAGTACCATGCTACATTTAGGTGTAAGACAGTTTCCTACCAAAAACTGGGTTGCCACTTCAAAATCCAAGATGGCCGCTGCGTTATAAACGTAAACGTTGTGAGCTGGATAATGTGAAACCTAAGCAAGGGGCCAACTTCCTTTTTGGCGTGTGATTGCATCTGGGCAGAAGAAAAGTTCCTTTCAAAAATGCGGTTGTCATTTCAAAATCCAAGATGGCCACCACCCCGATGCTTAATCTGAGTTGGATCCTGCCGGAACAGGATCCAGGAACTCTATTATTTTGACAGGGTATGTTCCGGTAACAGTTTGCTTGGATCCGGGAACTCTCAGGCTTACTAGTAATAAAGTTATGAACAAATATGACTGCTTTGAATGAATAAAACCTATATTGGATATGTAAACTGAAACTAATTACATAAACACTAATTTTAAACACAACAGCCACTCACGAGCTTCTTGATATTACATACAAGCTGCCTCTTCAAGTAGCATTTCCACCTTTACCCTTAAAAAAATCTCTGTCCCTAAGAGTGGTGAGGGTGAGTGCTGAGCTAACCAGGCAGTCGTTCATGGGCAGGAGCACAGGCAGCCACCATGAACAGATAGAGGAGGTTTCACATGTGGAGTCCGACAACAGGACAGTGAATTCAGTGAAGAGTTGAGCTCAGAACCATCAAATAAGGGGTAGGTGGGGAAGGATGCTTGACAGAAGAGAAGTGTTTACAAATGTAGGTAGACGTAAATGTTTTACAACCTGTTAAAATACACCAGAATGCAGGAAATTGCATCTACTTTATTCATAATTTTCTTGGGGAGGACCCCCAGACACGCCCTCCCAATCCCCCACCCCTGCCTGCTTGTTATTTGCATTCCGGCATCGATAGGTTTACAAATTAAGCCCTGGTGTATATATGTAGGTAAACTGGTAACCCTATCATTTGAGGAAATTAGGCTTTCTAGTTCTTCCTGTATATTGCTTAAAAGTATACCGGTAGTTTAAAATTAATCTATGGTGGCCAGGGACACCATTGGCCGCCATCTATTACTCTGCACCGCCTTGGACAAGATTCATTCCCTGTTCGATTCAAGTCCAGAAAAGCACTCATCTCGAAAACTAACGGAGGACGACAGCTTGTTTTATTTCTGAAAACCTGCCTTTTGCTACAGCCAAGTGTGTAAAGTTCTGCGCTGCCACCTTCTGTGCACAATGTTGACATCTAGCAGCGTTAAAACGATACTAAAGATGAAAACAGGATCCATTTTTTAAATCCTGAAGATAAATAATAAAACCTGTAGGAAATAGATGAGCTGCTGTCTTGTTTCTTTAAAACCATCAGGAAGAGCATGTCACTGCTGCAGGATCCGGCTGCACAGGGGTAACTGAGGGGGGTGACGGGGTTCCTACCAGGAAGGAACTCTGTACACTTTAGTCTGATTTGTTATTTGACTGTGAAGTGACTATGCAGCTAATAGAAACCACATTGTTAAAGCCTATACTTGGCTACTTTACCGCTGATGGAATTCAGAAACTACGGAGGGATTTGTTTTAAGTTCAAAGACATGAATCATGAAGGAGTGTTTGCGCCATGAAACATTTTTGAATAACATAAAGGCAAAATGGGGATATGTCTGGGAATTCAAAGAATGACTGCATCCAGCTAACTTTCCCTCTTTTAGGTAAAATATGGTATTGAGCCGGGTAACATCGGGCGGGAAATGTCTAATTAATCTGCTCCCCCAGGTGCAATGTTTCATTAATTCAACCAGCGTCCAATATTTTATTAACGTTGTTTCATTGCTTATTTGATTGAACGGGCCCCCTCACCATTAGCAATAAACACAAATGTAACACCCTGCAGTGTTTCCAATCAGAGCAGATCATAATGTCAGAGCTAATCAGAGTGGCCTGATGTGGAGTTTCACCAAGCTTTGTTGGACATGGAATGGTTTCACAAAGAGTGCATTTTATTATTGGAAGAAATGAGATCAGCCGAAAAACAAAGAGCTCCAGTTTCACTGCTCCAGCTGCACATGGGCCGTGCGTGCGCCACTGCTGCTATAGGAAACGTGTTTTGTGGAGTCTTATGGCGACGCTGATACACTTTCTGTCTCTTCTTCCTTTACAGGGTAAAACGAGCGCCTCGGGTACTGAGCGGCCTGTCCCCCTTCTTTGTAGTCAGTTCTGTAGTTGTGTAATGCTGTTCAACAATCACAAGTCACTGAAATACCAAGAGCTTTTTAGAAATGCAATTCATTGTGCGACCCAGATGTTTGGAAAGCATTCCAGCTGTTGTCAGGTTCTGTTTCTTTGTTTTGGTCGTCTCTCACTTAGTTAGTTGGTTTTCTGCATCCTCAGCCAGTCGTGCCACGCTCCTTCACA